CATATTGGCAGATTTGATGATAAAGTGCCAGATTTGATGATAAAGGTGCGTATTTGAATGAATTGGATGATATTTGAATGATTCTAGAGATACGTGGATATTTTGGTTATTCTGCGGTGTTTTGCTACTATTTTTCAGGGGGTGGCAGAAAATTCTGTTTTCGCAAGCTTTACGTCCGCCACAATTATTCTCTTCATGCTTTTTGGTTTGTCCTTGGTGTTGACTTCATGTGTGGGCGTTCGGTGTACTACCACACCAAATCTGGGTCTGACCAGCTTTGTTTGGTTTCCCAGGTTCCAGAGCCACCCCTTGTTCACACTGGCAGTGTCTTTGGAGGCTTCATCCCGGAAGCGGATGATGTACCCTGTTTTTGTGATTCCTACCCTGATGATCTTGACTTCTTTGGTTGGTGTATTCTTTTGTAGGGCGTCTGTGACCCTTGCTTTGACCTCTTCCACAGGGAGATATCTTGTGAGGGACCCTCCATATTCCATTGGGTCGGAAGCCTGTGCCACACTGATACAGACGCAGAGCGGGGGGTCTTTCCTGTCAGCTTTTGTAGACGCGGGCGTTGGGGCCGGTGGAGGGGTTGAGGATTCGCCATTCATTCTGCTATTGGAGGCAATTGATGCCCAAGATCGTTGATCTGGTCTATGTGTCACCTGGGTTCTCAGAGCAGTTATCTCATCTTTAAGGCTCGAGTTTTGCCTGATTAACTCTTTCTGGTCTGCATTTAACTCTTCACAGCATGTTTTGAGAGTCTCCACTGCCTGGCCTTGTTGTGCAATTATTCCTTTCAGCTCAGTTATAAGCCATGCAATTTTGTCAAGTTTGTTCGGGTGTCCATCACTGTTGCCTGTAAATTCAATGTTTGGGGTGCCATTTGGCTGGACAGCTGTGAGGGTGTTGGTTTTCTTCCTCTTGTGTGTCGGTTTCTGCGCTTTTGGTTGGGTCACATACTGGTGTGTCATCAAATTAAAGTTGATCCATGTTGCATCCTTGGTTCCGGGCTCCACATTCGGCTGTTCCCTGTTGTATACCACACTTCTCGACATCGACCGGGTCACCGCAGCCAGCGGTAACTGGTCTATCTCGCCTTCGATGGTTTCTAGCATTTTTCGACTGTCACTCACTGTGCCCATCACGGTCCGGACCAGAAGGACGCCAAGGCGTGATTTGGTTGGTGTACGTAGTTTGATTGACCCATTTTTTAGGGCAGGAGCGTGCCAAGGCAATTCTCTTACTAAAGCCACGTCTTGGCGTCCTTAAGGACGCCAAGACGTGGCGTTCCCAACAATGTTGTGGTGACGAAAGGAGAAGGACATGGAAAGAAATTCAATTGTTAATCTCTCATTTTAGACTCGAGCAATTTTTAAAGGCAACCAATAATTCAAACATTTATGGGCGATTTATAACAGGTTAAGGAAGGCGGATTTCTTCTGAGAGGCGCGGCAGATGAACTCAAACACTGAAGAAGCCAAGTTGTAACAGGCTAAGTGATAGCAAGTACATCGAACAGGCAAGCACATTACAGATGAGTATAAAGAAGAGTACAAAGAAAGAAGGGTAATGAAGAGAGAGGTTTGCGGCGAAATTAAAAGAAACATGAATTCAAGGCAGGAGGGAGCCCATATATATACCTAGAGCATTTGGTCAATTGAAACGATATATAGAGAAGATTAGCACTCATCCGGCCAGTATATCCTCGCTAAAGCCGATCCACTATCCGTCGGGTGATGAAGGGCGAATGGGAAGTAGTCCCAGAGCAGAAGTAGTCACAGAACAGGAGCAGTCCCAGAACAGAAGTAGTCCCAGATACAGTAGACAGAAGTCAAGGAGGGTCAGGAAAGACCCAACAAGTCAGAGATACAGAACATATAGAAAGATTATTGGTAGAGGAATATCTGAGCTCTGGCGGAAAGGAAGCGATTCAGGCACGAATAGCTTGGTCTTTGAAGCAGAGAGCGGGAAACCCTGTATTTATAGTTGTACGCTGCATAGTTGCCTGAGGGCGGCTGGGACAGTCTATGAATCAATCAATCAATCAATCAGAAGTAGTCCCAGGACAGGAGCAGTCCCAGGACAGGAGCAGTCCCAGGACAGGAGCAGTCCCAGGACAGGAGCAGTCCCAGAGCAGAGGTAGTCCCAGAGCAGAGGTAGTCCCAGAGCAGAAGTAGTCCCAGAACAGAAGTAGTCCCAGGACAGGAGCAGTCCCAGGACAGGAGCAGTCCGACAACCACACACTGCTCCCTCCTCTAATGTTTTGAAATTTCACCACAACCGCGCGTGTATTAAGCTGAA